ATATACGTTCCCTGTTTGACACTTGACTGAATAAGGTGCGGGTATGACGTCCTCAACATATCGTAAATATTATAATGAGCAGTGGCTAAACATATAGATGACCTCAGGCTCAAATGCAACGATTGCATAAATGGGTGCGCTAATGGTTTGCTACCATGAGTTTATAGCTGGCAGAGCAGAAAACGAAACACTTGCTCATAACCACAAGGAAGGTGGAAGAAAGGTTAACACTCACCATAGAAGAGTGGGAGATTACTTCACAGCCGCAGCTGAAGTATCTGGAAGTAATACTAGACCAAATTAAAATTTAAGGAACACCTGGCCTATACTTTCGGTAACGCAAACAAAATTTATAACGCCCTATCGAATGATGGTCAATAAAGGCTGCGTGTGGCCGGCGGTTTTTAATAGCAAAAGTAATGAGTTGCGTGATATTATATGCAGCACCAATATGGATACAAGCGCTAGATATAAAATCATATGCTAGACCAATAAACGTATTGCATACGCTCTCTGCAATCCGAGTAATAAGTGCTTTCAGAACGGTATCAAGTGATGCTGCTGAAGTATTAGCCGACATGCCGCCTATTGATATTCAGGGGATAAATTCGCGCGACTGTACCAGCTTTCAGTGCCGTCTTCAAAAGTAAAAGAAGAGGCGAGAACCAAGAGCCTAACAATGTGGCAGCAGCGGTAGCAAACCTCTTCTAAAAGATGATGTATCCACATACTGATTCCGGACATTCATTCGTGGATAGACAGGTGACATGGGGACCTGGATTTCCATCTAACCCAAATACTGAGTGAGCATGGATGCTTTAGAAAGTATATCTTCAAAATTCATTATGATATTAGTCCGTATTATCCAACGTGTACAGAATGCATAGAAGACTCCAAAGGCGTATTTTTTCAGTGCTCCCGTTTTTTAAATATTAGGAAAAAGTTAAAATCTACACTCGGTGGTAGTCTAACGGTGGAAACTTTGACAGCATATATGTGTCAGTCCTCTGTCAGCGAAGCGGCAGCTCTAATTATGACAAAACTGAGATACTTAGAATAAATTTTGAGTCAGTCAGTCCGTACCGTAGAGGAGACTTTAATGCCCTTTTCTCTCCTACTTAATCTGGTGGTTCCGTTGGAGACACATGAGTTGGTTAGGTTTAGCGGATTAAAGTTCCGCACTTCGGCTTTCGATGCTTTCCCCTACTATACAAAAAAAAAAAAAGGCCATACCGACATACTTGTGTACACACCGATCGAACACACATGTATGTATATCATGTATTGATCTGATTTNATCCCGTAATTTTCGATATTAAATTTTTTGAATCATCGAAATAATTGGTAAACAAATTTTATTTTCTACTTTGCAAGAACACCACAATTTCTTTACTATATCTACACATCGTTGGGAGATTTTAGTACAGCGTACAAATTTAAGAGTTAAGAGTCTTTCTCAAACTCGTTGGTCTGCTCGACATGATGCACGTTATGCATTAGAAAAAGAGTGGTCTGCAATAATGATGCACTGGAATTTATTGCCGAAAGTAGAGTTGAGAAACCGACTACGCGATCTGAAGCTGCGAGATTGCAGTGAAAATTACAGCATTTAGAAACAGCAATCCAAGTCACCGTTTGAAATGTAATTTTAGATCGTTTCAATGCGTTTCAAAACAATTTCG